GGAATTTTTTATTTGATCTTTTTAATGATGTGTAAAATGAAAAGGATTTATAATGAATTTGATGTGTACATTTTTTCAGGATTTAATTGATCTACTTAATCCATTTGGTGATGTTCTATCATGTGTGATTGAAAGAGATGGCAATGAAATAAGCTTAGGAACATCACTTATCAGGTTTGCTACATCTGAAACATGAAGATGTTTTCACAGGGAAGCACATCTATTTATTCAATTTAGCTACCTGCTCTACTGTTTACTTTGATTCATATTTCAATAGCTCGTTTATCACCTGCCTGTAGCATTTACCTGTGGTACAAGGGCCTGACATAAATTTTGAATAGACTGGCCCCTATACCAGACTATGATGAGTATTTTATAATCCAAAATTGTTACTCTTGCATACCAGAGGGAGGATTTCATACACATTAGTACCCCCCTTCCCCTTCCACAGGTCACAGGTTGCATACGGGAATCACATTTGCATGCAAGCAGTAGGGTCCATAACCAGGGCAGGTGTGACAAAGTTATCTCTCAAGGTTATTTCTACCCAGTCATAGATCCCGGGGGAAGCTTTGTGAGTCCCCAAGGGAGGCTCTTTTTTTATTTCTGGTTTTTCTGCTGTTTGCTTTAGAATGGAGAGCAGGACTGCCTGTGAATGGATAGTGAACACATTTGCTGGTGAAGTTTACCCTGGTCAGTAACAACAGTGTTTTAGAGGATGTCTTATTTGTTTTAAACTTGTCCATACAATCATCATCATCATCACTATCAGCGGTATACCTGTGATTATCGTTTTCTCTATATTTGCTTTTTACTTGGTCTTGTTAAAGCAGAGAGGTGGTGGGGAGAATTTAACGCTGGCAGGCAAACCCAAGACCCAGTCAAGGGTTTGCTTGACTTTTAGGACTTCTCCTTACCCCTGGGGCTTAGATGAGGGCAAAGTGATCACAGAAAAGCAAACTTTACTTTACAAAAGTTTTAACAACACTTTTAGGAAATCAGGCCCTATTCTTCTGTTTCAGGAGCTAGTGAACCTATGGTGTGTCGTTTCCTCACAGAGTAATGAACGCAGAAATGAAGTATCACATTAACGACAAAGTTGAAGAACTGCTCATCTGCCAATTCAATCTCTTTTCCATGTCGCAGCAGGTCTCAAAGAGAGTAATACAACTGTGCTTAATTCTTGCGTTTGTCGGGTCGTGTTTTGTAGTTTATGATCTCTTACTTGGAGTCTTATTCGTTTCCTGTTTGTTTTTCCGTTAGTGGATCCTCTTCGTGGTGTCTGGCCTTTGGAGCTGTAACAATTTTTATTTTTAAATATTTTTGTGTTATCTATTGCTAAGACCTAAGGTATGAGGATCACAAGACTTAACTACAGAGGAACTGAAAAACGTAGGCATGCGTAGCATGCGAGAGTTCTTTTTTTTCATCGTTACACCCAAAAAGAACATAACTTTCAAAAGAACGAAAATATCGCAGAAAGACAGAAAAAAACCTAACTTATCTGAACTCACACATATATTTTGTGGTCTATTGTCTCTATTATCTAAATACTTCTAAGTAAAAATGAAATGCATCGGTGCCACGCTTACTGTTGTCTCCTTCGCAGCCGTTTGAGAGAGAGTGCGTTGCGTGACGAGGCCAAATAACGGTTGGAAGAAAGACTAAGCTTACTACCGTTCCTCTAACAGAGAGGAAATCTAAATTCTTTGTCTACAGTTTGTTACCACAAAGAATAGAATACATGGTAAAGTGCAGGTTGTTTGCAGGGAAATGACACGTGAGAGAGCGAAGTCTTTTTATATGGCAAAATGGAATTTGATAGGTGGAATACAATTCAAGCACGTGAAAAATTGCCGAATGTATATGTAGTACAATGATTGGGTAAGTTCTGATTGGACTTTGGACGTTGTGTTCATGGTACGTGGTGGAATGGAAGCTGTGTGGCGTGTGCGTTGTGAGTGAAGGAACGCGAAAAAGAAAAACACGCTTTAAATTAGAAATTAAAAAGCGAACCTATCATATCCCGATAAATCTCGACCTTCATTGATGAGGCCGACGCGAAGGCCACAAACCATCACACTTAACAAATGAGCCCAAAATTTCTGATTAATATCGTTCTTTGTGCACAGCCTCTTGATCCATGACATCACCCTCGCCCTGAACCAATATCAGGACCAAAATCAATCATGACTTGGTTATCATCGTTTTTCCTTCCTCGTATTTACTTTAAGCTCATTGTTTCATTATAGAGCTAATATTTTCTCCAATTTATGTGGTTTTGTTCACATCGGCAATCCCTTCAAAGTTTGAACCGATTTTTCCAAACTGAATTCTATTGACAAGAACTTGAAAGCAAAGTTCACTATAGTTAGATGGATTATTTTCCCAACTCTGTCGTTGTCGGACTTTTGTTCACCCGCGTGATTTTGTCAAGTACGTAATTTAAAATCGATCAAAGTGTGTAAATTCTATTTCAGTATCATTTTAAAACGAGACAAACTATCCCAACAAGAAACTGCAAATTTTTATTTCGTAGGCGGAAGGTTATCTCGTCTCTAGTGGGTAATTAAGTATTATCAACTGAATTGATATCTTAAATTGGCCACCGTAAAGATTTTGAAAGATGACAATTGGAGCGTCAGCCTTTCGTCAGAACGTGTGACGTAGGGATAACGCCCGAAACATCGGTCGGGACCAGGCTAAATTTACAGAAATATAAAATTAATTCTCTGAGATTAATTTATTTAAGGAAAAAACAAAACAACGATTTACCTTCATAGACCAGGAGCTTGAGGCCAGGAAACCTCGTCTCCTGAAGACCTGAAAAACTACGGAAGGTTGGAGGTCATATTCCTCAAATTATTATGAAGCCACATAGAAACAAAGAGTATTGACATCAAAGCTAAACCGTGTTTGGTCTTTGTAATCACCTTTGTTCTTTAACTCTTTGCTGTGGAGGGGCCGATCGAGTGACATGATGGTAGGTAGCAAAGCTTAAGACAATTTGTTTTTATGTCCCATTGCGAAATATACGCATATTTGTGTGTCACTCTCATTCAACAGATGTGTGTCACATGTCACATTGCCTCTTTTCGTTTTGTCTACACATCAAGTGGGGTATTCCTGCCTAAGGTCTAACATGAATGCACGTGACATGAATTTGAAAAACAATTGTATCTTTCCCTTTCTTGAGGCTACTGATATAAGTCAATGGCAAAGCCAATTTAACAAGCAAACAAGACTGTAATCTAACGTTCGTGACCATAACTTGTTGAGTTACATCAATAGACGTGTTTGGTTATTCAAATAATTCCGTCTGTTATGATAGTAGACAGACGACAGACGTATCTTGAACAGACGCCACGTCATCTGGAAACCCGGCCTAGACGTTTGAAGATGAAAAGGAGGAATCGAAATAGACGCGATGATCCGGCTTTCTGAGCCTTCTTGCATTTTTCAAAATTCACCCAGACTCCTCTCAAACGTTTTTGACTCCGAACTGCCTCGAAGTAATTGAAGTTTACTTCTTAGATTAGAAACGTTAAATTAGTTTTATCAACTGTCAATTAGCTGTGTCAGATATTGCACTGATTACTCACGATTTCTGAGGAAAAACCTTGATTTTCGAAAATCAGCTGTCTTTAGCTCAGAATTCCACAAATTTTGTATTTTGATAAGAAGTTTATCCGTGTCTCCCGACGGTTATTTTAAAGGAAATATTTGTTCAGACAGTTAGAGGGTCGGGAACACTGCGTGAAACTCACAGATGCCATTGAAACTTTGCGATTTTAGTATTTTTGTGGTGGGTAAGTGGCTCCAATTTTCCTCAACTACCTGTTTGACAATTACGATATGAATCTGATGTAATTTGGTTATATACAGTTTTCGGTTTCTAGTAGTAATGGTAATATTATATCTAGTGGAAGGATTATGAAAGATGACCTTTTGAGAGTCAATTTTGGTTTCATGTGAGATCAACTAGCTCGAAAACCTCTATTCTTTTGCTGTGAACAAGCTGGCAAATGATTGGCTTGGAGAGTTTTACACGTGACTTGTATCCACCCAATCTATTTTTAGCATCAATTCACGCATGACAACTGCATGATGTCAAGTCGTAAACGGGATTCAAACACTACAGGATAAATTTATGAATACATTTTAACTCTTTGTTTTGGCGAAACCTCCCGGCACACGAAGAAAACAATATATCGGGAGATTCATACCCTGTAGTTACACTTGGATCTACTACTGAACGACTTGAGTTTCAGGGCCAGTAACTTACCGGTTGATTCAAAGATCGGCGGTTGATGAACGAATCGAACGGACGTATGTACCAACAGTTCAAATCGCACTAGGTGAATCATTCTTGTTCGAGCAAGTAGGTGAGTGAATCATAAAAATGCAGGGGGTATTTTTCACTTTCATTAACCTCGTGGTCACCGTAATGTTTACTTCAGACAAGGTTTTTTTTAAATCTTCAATTGGTGGTAAGTTACAACGCTTTTTAAGCGAACGTTGACATTGACTTGGCAATGTTTTGAATGTGTCATATGCTTGGTTTAGCAATCTGACTTTGCTGCTAAGGTATCATAAATATGTGTGTTTGCTATGACAAATCCGAGCAATACAGTCAACACGAAGAACGGGGAAGGCTGTCTAGCATTCATTTGCATAATGACAATAACCTTTGAGTCCGCATGAAGCGGTGACTGAGTTCGACAAAAACCTGTTATTTTATCTTTTTTCGCGTATTATCGAATTCATAATGAATGAAAGATGCCTTCCTTTATCGAAAATATACTAGTGGATTAGTTGTAGTCGAGAAAAGGTCGTGAAAGGGGTTCATTTCGATCGAAAGTGTTATCGCATCACACACTTCGCTGTCCGCTGTAGTTGATGCGCAGGTCACCCTTGCGTAATGCAAATGATCCCAAGGGAATCTCACTCAGTGTGTTACTGAATCATTGGTTTTTCCGGCTCAGTGAACAAACCAATAGCTAGCCGTGAAGGCGGCGTATTTATGTGTTCATTAACACTGAGTAAGACGTTCTCAAAGTGAATGTATATGAATTCTTATCGAGATTGCGTGAATCTGCTTTGATTCACTCGTGATTTCGGCATCCTTAGACTTCGTTTTTATGTGTGTTAAAGAGGGAATGTCGATGACCGTAGTAAGAGCAAGTTTCTTATTCAACTGTGACGGCAGTTGCTGTTTTTTTAATTAACCACGCAAAGTGTACACCATCTGATGTTGAGACTTCACCGGTAATTGTGTGTATTGTGTTGGTATTTGTTTGCATTATACAAGAATATTATTTCTCATGGATAAATCTGGTGCCTTTGCTAATGAAACTGAGCTGTTGTATTTTATTTTTTTTCACGTGACGTAGATTTTGAAGGCCGCTCAAGTGCCCCGTTGTGTGCTTCATTTTTTAATTTACATATGAATAAATTTTTAATCTCTTTGTTAGTCAATAACTCAAGCATGCGTTACAAATGGCATTATCTATTTTGACTACAATTCTTAAATAGGCACCATATCTTTCTAGTGTGTAACACACAGAAGGTTTGGTATTGAACCCGTTCATGATCAGCCGTGTCTACTTTCTCATCACTTAAAATTGGCGTGAATAATTTTTTTTCTTTTTAACACTTGCTTTTGTTGACTGCACTTTTTTCGAAGACAGGCGGTCGCTTTACTTTTTAATAATATTAAAAAAAAAAATGACGCCCGTCTGATTGGCTGAAAACGAGTGTATTTTTTATGTAACACGAGTGCAAAGTTGTAACACGAGTGCAAATTTCAAATAGCGCGCGTCTTGACTTTATGGGGTGCGTTTTTCATGTAATTCATTGACAAGTAACAGCATGATTTCTCGAGCAATTTGGTATAAGTTTTTCAAAGACTACGGGCTGGAGCAATTTTGCTGTCTTTGAAAAAAATTCACTCTTGTTTACAACCTCCAAATTGCACTCGAAATCAGGTTGCTACCAGTACTTACACAAGATAGTTGAGTGCGTAAATATTCTGAAAACAAACTTAGCTGTACATTTATTTTAAAGTAACTTTTTTTTATCTCTCGTTTCTCGCTAGTAGAACCCTTAAATTGGAGGGAACTTGTCAGATAGACTTATGGAGTTATGGAGGAGCTAGAGATAGCAAAGAAGAAGCGGTAAGGAATCAGTAACACAGCATAACTCTGTCCGCGTGTCATTCAATCGTTTATGTATCTTTTTTGTAATAAATATTTAATTGGTTGCGATTGTTTTTCATTTTTAGGAAAGTTGATGGTGGAGGTGCTGCCTCAAGTAAGTCGAAAACGTTTTGAATTCTTATTGAACGTCACGTGCGGCTAAGGGTTGGACTTCGACCAGCTGTAACTGTGTCGCTGATTCTTAGATCTAGTCTACTCCGCGTATTTTTTAGAGCACATTAGACGACTACATTTTTTGCAGCGGCTAGATTCATTATTTACACCTTTCTTTTTATCCCTCTCATTCCCAACATTTGAATATCAACTTTTTTTACTGTCTCCCATGCATTCTTCTGAGAATTTGGTATTCAATCTTACAGAATTCCCATATTGATGTTTTTCTATATTCTCACCCTCTTTCAGTTTGAAAATGTCACATAAGTACGGTACTTATTTTGTATGGAGAGATTATTTTTTAGGTCACTCCTTAGAGTAAAAAGGGTTGGCTTTACCGACTCAGTAGTGCTCGGCAGGGACGTTTTTTTTCCTAGTGAAGAGCAGTAAAAATGGCCATATTGGTTTTTAAGAATACTTTTTTCCCTTCCATCTTCTCTCTTTCTTCCTTCTGTTTGTGCTCACCTGGCTCCGATTGTTCGTAGGGTGGATAACGCTATCCATTGGATAAAAATCTCTATCCGTTGAATGGCACAGTACGTTATGTTAACACTTATCCGTTGGATAGTGATTCTTCCAGTGGACAGCGTTATCCGTCCTTAAAACAACTGGGCCTTGTTGTTTGGTTTGCCACGTTGTCTCGAGATTGCATACAGTATACATTGTTCAGTCAAGCATTAAGACCATAACGATGCTAGAACAAGGGCTATCCAACTGACCTGTTGATTACAAAACACGCCAGAAGCAGTTTGCACTCTTCTGGTCGCTGACCATCTCTTAAAAACGTCCTTTCTCAACCCCGCAAAAGTCAAAGATGTCCTGCTTTTTAAGGTCAACACGTCAACACTTACGCAAGAAAGAAACCAGTAGAACACTTCTCTGGTCCCTGTATTGTTTTTTTCTACAGGCTTTATTCCCGGATGAATTTTTTATAGTAGCCTTTCTCCCCCATCTGCTCTCAGACTGCACTCGTTTTGAAACGCATCAAATGTGTTTTGTCATTTTAACTGCGCCACGCCCCAAAAGGAGTGCACAGCAGTAGCACCTGATTTTTGAGTGACTTAACTCGAGGTTTAAGCTCGCAAATCAAGGGGAAGCGATGTGTCTTGGTTTCTAGAGCGGTTGTCTAATTCAGAATATGAAGGAAAACGAGGTTGCTCGAAGTTTTGTCGGTAGAGGTTGTGTTCCTCTTCTTAATCAAAGTTCACTTTTTTGTTAGCCACGAGTCAAAATCTAGAGTCCTTTTATCGAGCTACAGCAACGAGAACTTTTATCCAGCAATGATAAATATGAGCTGCAACAAAGCCGTTTGGCATTATTGCCAAATCTTCTAGGCAGTTTTTAATCACTGCTCGTCTAGAAACAGTTTATGCTAAGCCAGGAATAACTAGAGAAAGACGCATTTCACTGCTGCGTTTGGCACTCTTTGACTCGTCCAATAGATTGAACATTAGTTCTCGTTAGTTCAAGCGTTTATTCCTTTATTTCACAACGGCCAGTGGCCATGTTTTAAAGCTGATGATTACTCGTAGACATACTGAAAGCTTAAACCTGAACCAAATTTCAATTTCCTTTTTCTCCAGCGCCAAACCATGTGATGACCAATGGAGATTCTATTGGAACAAGCGATGCAGCTTCCACTCGACCACTTTCCCATCTGCAATTTAATCCGTCCAGATTTGACCGACTCCGCCAGATTACAATTGACTGTCAAAAGAATTTTCTCCCTCAACCTAAACCTAACGGCAGCAAGATACTTCGATGTAAAGGACCTGCAAAGGAACCGAACCCGGAGATACACTCGTCGAACGATGCAAACAGCCCAAGCCCTGATCTTATTATATCGTCCGCTGGCTCATCACCGGCTCATTCGCCTAAACCATTAGATTTCAAAATGTTGTCTACGCCCCCGCGGTCGAGTAAACTGGGAGATACGAATCTTCCGATACTTGAAAACACTTCAGAACTAACCTCCTCTGATCGCCAAATGGCGTGTGTCAGACTTGTGGCGAAATTAGACGAATCTTCAAGTAAAAAGCTTTCTAATGGAGTCACCACGGATGCTAGGACTTTAAATCAGGATTCCTTGGTGGAAGTTTTGGAAGAAGGCGATCAAACGTGCCCATTAAACCCTGGCGCTAAGCCTGTCCATGTGAATGGGGAAATCAATTTGTTAGAAGGGAACAAAGGGCCAGCGGATAATGATAAAACTACTGTGAAGGATCGAAATTCACCGTCTTTTTCAGACCTGGCTCCCAGTGCTAACGCAGAGGAAACTACAAAGGACTTCAATTTTAATTCAGACGAATTCAGACAAGTAAGCTTTTCGCTGTTTTTTTTTTTTTTTTTCGTTTTGTTAGTGCGCCTAATTTGTCAGACTGCTACCCTCCAGAGTAAGATCATGCTTTACGTACACGGAAAGTTGAGTTAAAACACTTACTAGTCGCCATACTTTTCACTAATTTTCGCTCCAATTATTTTGTTTTGATTCAAACAGTTTTCTATCTTCTCATCAATTTCTGTTTTGCCACCCTTGGTGAATTATCTGAGAGACTTCTCTTCAATTACAAAATGTTTTTTTTTTTACAGCTGAAGATGATTCGAAATGTTGTCAGGAAATGCCTTTTAAACTTGTTTAATTTGAACCAATTATTCCCAAAGATCTGAAGCTTAATTGTCCCTTCCAGCAACTATTCACTCTCTTCCAAAGAGGTTAAAAAAAAATCTGAGTTACATGAAAATAACGCTAACAATAACCCACCCTGATATGAAGGCCTTATGTCATCAACTGCCGGATGATTGTAGCCAGAAGTTGTATGGTGATCGGGAAAATTAGATGGATTAATATAACTCCAAGGGTAGGTTTATCGAATTCCGAACATTGGGTTGGAAGTAAATAAGATACGGCCGCGCCAGCGAGAACATGGACAATTGAAAAGTTTTCACCAACTGCCTGAATTTTAAAACTGGGTTCGTTGAAGTCTTAATTACATTCACATGCAGCTTCTATCTTGAACTAATCTTCACGTATCTTAGATGGTCAAGAAAATGATCCAAGAGAGGATGAGTCAAATCCAGCAGTCAATGGATGATGACAGCCCGAACGACAAGCTCTCCGTTAGGCTAGCTGCACTTGAGAAGGAGAACAAAGCATTGAAAGAGTACGCAAAGAGAGTAGAAGATTCTGTAAAAACGATTTTAAAAGCTGAGAGCTTAAAAGCAAAGAAACGAGAAACTAAAGCTGTTCAAACCCAAGATCTTAACTGGGTAAGTAAATTTCCTTAGGCCAGTAACAAGGTAGTCTCCTTCTCGGCCGTTGTTTATTCTCGTCACGCAACACGGAGAGAGCGCATTGCGTGACAAGACCAAACAACGACTGCGAAGAAGACTAGCAGAAAAGCGGTGAATAACTAGACCCAGCCAATCCATTTTTTAGGAAGAAATGGGCGGTTTTGAAAACATTGTTCATAAACAAAAATTTTTGTGGGTTTGTTTATTTTGATATTTTGTTTCAGCAAAAGTATAAAACAAGTAGTCCACAGTGACATACTAGGCAGAACACCCTTGACGTTCAGTGGACTCATCCTTTATTTAATCGTTGGAATCAACAAACGTAAAGTATTACATGTCTTGTCCTTTACCAGTGACTGTCAATTGGTTATCGTTTTGTAGATGAACGCTCTGCGCACGAAGACTGTGAACGCACCATCTCCCCCAGCGAGTTTAACAGCTTCCAGGCCCTCAAATGCTAGTGTCAATGTTATGACTACACCAACACCACGGCTCACCTCCACCGTAGCACCTTTGCCTGGTCACACAGTACCGCAATCAGCTCCCGTTAACTATCGCCCTGCGACTCAGAGGCAGTCGGAGCCTGTGCGTCCTCGTATCCCTGTTGCGTCAAACGTCTCTCCTCGTCCACAAGCACCTATCGCGTCGGGAGCCAATTACGTCCCTGGGCCAGCGCTCCGACCCACACCCACTCAGGCGGCAGTGCCAAGGGGTCCTGCTCCACCTGTGCGCCACTTCTCTTCGGGTCAGTCAGGGTTTAATGGCGTAAGAGCCCCTCCTCCGCCAAGTGTTCAGCCACCAAGGCCGATGATGAGGATACAGCGACCCATCACTAGCCTTCCCGGACCACGTAGCGTTGCTCCAACTCCTTCCCGCCCGTTGCCTACGGTGACGGTTCATCCACAAACTCCATCTAGTTCCACATCTGTCCGGGGTCCACATGAGTTGCCTTCGTATGGTTACAACACACAAAATGCTTATCATAACGGGCAGCATAGCCCAAGATTTCCTGTGGCTCCACAGATGAGAGCTCAAGCACCCCAGCCTCCTCAGGGTGCCCCCCCTCAAGTCTCACAAGTACCTAGACCCGCTTATCCACAGTCCCCTATTCAAGCGTCGCAGCCTCAACATATGATGCAACAACCTCATCGTCAAGAACAACAACACCCTCAACGAAACCTCCCTCCAGTCTTGGTAAGACAGAATACACCGGTGCAAATGCAGTCTCCTCCCCATGCGGTAAATCAGCAAGCTTCACCTCACTCTCAACAGCCCGGTATGGGGCATTATCAACAAGTGGTTGGACCTCCAAGACAAGTTGCTCCACCTCAACCTTCAGTTCCCCAGCAAAGCTATGCACAAGTACCTATAGGACCCCAACAGCCTGCCCAACAGGGTCTACCGCCGGGTTCAGGGCAACATCCCCCTGTATCTCCAGCAACAGAAGCTAAAGACCCCCCTCCGAAACCTAATGTCTCCATAGCGGTGGCTCCAAGCGGTATCGTTTTGTCGTGGTACATGGCTCTTGAGGAGAGACACGCGCCTATAATGAACTATCAACTGTTTGCCCTTCAGGACGGCGGAACAACGGAGAACCCTCACCAGTGGAAGAAGATTGGAGTCGTCAAGGCGTTGCCGCTTCCTATGGCTTGCACTCTGACTCAGTTTTCACCTGGCAATAAGTACCACTTCTTGGTACGTGCTACTGATGTTAATGGACGACAGGGTGAGTGCAGTGAGGCCTGCACTATTACGCTCAAGTGAATCATCTTAGGCAAAAACAGAAACTGTTTTGTACAGCTCATTATCAGCACTAATGGTACTTA